GCTGCGCGGGCCGCGCGAATTCGACGCGGCTGGACAGCGCTGCCTTCGTCGGAAAGACTCTGGCGGCCGTGCGCTCCAACGACCTCACGCCGCCGGCGAGATCCATTGGCGTTCCAGAGCGAGGTCCTCGACCTCCCGCGTCTCCGTAGCCACGCGCTCATCAAACTTCTGGAGGGCTTTGAGCACGGACGGAGGTGGGCCCTTCTGCAAGACCTCCCGTGGCGGCGGCCGAACCAAGAGCATGTCTTCCATGCCAGTAGCTCTGCTGAGCATCGCGTACAGGTGGAGCCACCAGGTCTCCCCTCTTTCCTCCAGTTCACCAATGCTCGTGTCCTGCGCGCAGTCGATGGTCACCCCGGTGCGGATCGCCTGGCCCTGTGACGCGGTGGATGTCAGGAAACGCCCGTGCGTGAGTGCATACCCGAACCTCTTGACTCGGTGCGTTTTGTTGGCGCTTGTCCACTTGAAGTTCGCCTCCATGAGCGGGAAGCAGAACAGGCCGTTCGCCTTCTCTTTGTCGATTGCGAAAGAGTTGGTGAGGGCGGCGACCACGTCCGGGCTCTGCTTCTCAAAGTTGTGCACCTGCATCCAGAACCCGGCAGGCAGAAAGCGCGGGCGGAAAATCTCTCCTGGCGCGCACGCGTCGTACCTGACCTGGTCGCTGCTCTCGAACACGAAGCTCACTATGGTGGCCTTCTGCTCCTGGACCAAGCTCTTGCGCTTGGACACCTTGACGGTGAATTTCACCTCCATGCCCACGTGCGCTGGGAGAACGGTGCGACCAAGGCCCTTGCCACCAACGCTCGTCCGCCTCCGCGGGCCCGGGAGAAAGCTGAGCGCGAGGAGTGCCAGTGGAACGAACAGAGGTAGCCAGCAGCAAAGCCGGGGACCGCTGCGGAGTGCAAGTCTGCATGGGCGGGGCCTTCGTTGGCGTGCCCTTCGTCGGTGTAGCCTTCAGAGGCGTGGCAAACGCTGCGGCGGCGGCCTTTGTGTCAGCCGCCGCGCTGCCGGCCTCGCGCGCTCGCCGCATTTTCGCCGGCGGGCCGCCGCCGTTGTTTAAAAGAGCTTCCTGGGGGAATCCGCCCGACGCAGGGTTCTGCAGGTACGCCACCAAGCACTGCCTCTTGCCGTCGTCGTTCATCTCCGAGTACCTTGCGTAGACCGTATCGGGCCACCAATTGTGAAGCTGGCGGCGGTACGCATTCAAAGCGGACTGCACCACTCCGCTGGCGCATCTGCGGGAGGTCTCCACGCTAACCTCGCCGCCCATCTGAAACATTGCAGTCTTCATCGCCAAACATGGAGGTGGCAGCGCGTCCACGGCGATTTTGGGAGGCATGGCCGCCGCGCAGGTCGGGCGGTGTTCTGAAGTAGGACTACAGAAGCGCGCCTGCGCGAGAGCGCAGGCGCGCCGAGCCGGCTTGAACCAAGGTGTTTACAGTTCTTCACAAGACACGAGCTCCCACCCCCAGCGCACCCCCTGTGGCGGCGAGGAAATGCCGCGCCTGCCACGCCCTGGGAGCCTGCAGCGCATAGAGCCCCCACCCCCAGCGCACCCCCTGCGGCGTCGAGGAAATGCCACGCCTGCCACGCCCTGGGAGCTTGCAGCGCATAGGGCCCCCACCCCCAGCGCACCCCCTGTGGGGTCGAGGAAATGCCACGCCTGCCACGCCCTGGGAGCCTACAGCGCATGGGGCCCCCACCCCCAGCGCACCCCCTGTGGCGCCCAGGAAATGCCGCGCCTGCCACGCCCTGGGGGCCTGCAGCGCATAGGGCCCCCACCCCGAGCGCACCCCCTGTGGCGTCGAAGGAATGCCACGCCTGCCACACCCTGGGAGCCTGCAACGCATAGGGCCCCCCATCCCCCAGCGCACCCCCTGTGGCGTCGAGGAAATGCCACGCCTGCCACACCCTGGGAGCCTGCAGCGCGTAGGGCCCCCACCCCCAGCGCACCCCCGGTGGCGTCGAGGAAATGCCACGCCTGCCATGCCCTGGGAGCCTGCAGCGCATAGGGCCCACACCCCCAGCGCACCCCTTGTGGCGTCGAGGAAATGCCACGCGGGCCCCCACCCCATGCGCACCCCTTGTGGTGTCGAGAAAGTGCCACGCCTGCTGTGCCTGGACGACCGTCTGCGCTGTGCTGTGCTAGTCTGTGCTGTGCTGTGCTAGTCTGTGCCGTGTGTGTGTGTGTGTGTGTGTGTGTGTGTGTGTGTGTGTGTGTGTGTGTGTGTGTGTGTGTGTGTGTGTGTGTGTGTGTGTGTGTGTGTGTGTGTGTGTGTGTGTGTGTGTGTGTGTGTGTGTGTGTGTGTGTGTGTGTGTGTGCGAGTGTGTGAATGCGTGCGGCTGTGTGTAGACGCGTGTCTCATGTACTTGCCGCGCATGTTGTTGCATGTGTTGAGCGCGGGTGGGGAGAGGAAGAAGAGGAGGGGAAGAGTGAGGTGTGAGTGTCGCGGGTACGGCGCGGCAGGGAAGAAAACCAGAACCCCACGAAACATGTGGGACAAAATGTCAACTCGTGGTCCCCATGTTGGGCCCCTCTTGTGGCCGTTTTGGGAGCCTCTTGGGCCTTCTTGAGGGCTCGTGAGCCGTTTTGGGGCGATTTGGGGCGCATCGTGGGCCCTCTGAAGACCGAAAAGGCGGCAATGCGAAAACCATACATCAACAGATGGATTGAGACGATTTAGGGCTCTTGGGCTGCCCTCCTGGGCCTCCAAACAGGCCGTAGAGCCCTAGAGGGCGCCCAAGAGGGCTCCATGAATCCATGTTGAACATGCATGTCCCGAACAGCGCGCTCTTGGCATCTCGAAAAGTCACGCGCCCACCCCCGAGAGCGCCAGGAACTCCGGGTTGTGGACCATTTTACACAAACGCTTCCAGGTCTCTATACAGGTGATTCAAAGGGACCTGACGACCCTCCAACTCGTGCCTCAGGCCACGGTGGCGGATTTCAATCGAGCGGGGCTTTGGCCGGACGGCGCAACAGGGGTATTTTGCTAGGCTTCTAAGGGGGCAGGGGGTCCAGCGCCTCATGAGCTCTCGCCCCCCTCGAGGCGTGGGGACCTCGCGTTTGCGAGCCCACTATGTAGTCGGGCGCGCTGGCAAAATCCCAACGAACTTCACAACGGCGATGCAGGGGCCAGTGTCGAGGGAGGCGGCCTTCGGAGGAGGCATGTGGCGTCTCAGAAGGTATTCTCCGTGACAGGCCATGCTCACCACAGATTCTCAGATAGGGTGGGCTGCTGAGAAGGATGCCATACCAACCTTGCCAGGCTGGAGAGAAGGAGCGGCAGTAGTAGGAGGAGGAGGAGACCGACGACGACGACGACGACGACGACGAGGGAGACGACGGGGAGTGAATCTGTGTTGTTTCTGGGCGTGGCCCGAATTTGTTTCTCGCGAGGTAAACTGAATTGAACTGAACTGAACTGAACTGAACTGAACTGAACTGAACTGAACAGACTGGTCGCACCCGTTACGCACCGGGGGCGCAACCTACGGCGCAACCGATAGGAGGCGGTTTCATTCTCGGCCGCCGAGGGCGCAACCGATGGCGCAACCGATAGGAGACGGTTCCGCCGAGGGCCCTTGAGGAGACGGTTTTGTTCTCCGCCGCCGAGGGCCCAACCTATGGCGCAACCGATAGGAGACGGTTTTATTCTCGGCCGCCGAGGGCCCAACCTATGGCGCAACCGATAGGAGACGGTTTTATTTTCAGTCGCCGAGGCCGCAATCTATGGCGCAACCGATTGGAGACTGTTTTATTCTAGCCGCCTAGGGCGAAACCTATGACGTAACGCAAACTATGGGCATTCGAATGCGTGCGGGGCTACGCCCGATGTATGCTCGCCGTTTGGGCTGGCGACGGGGCCCAAGCGGCGAGCTGTCTTGCGATTACCTGATTTTGGATTTGCGCGCACAAAACTACTGAATGGTTATGATTCTCAACTCGCTGCTGGAAATTACCACCAGGCCTCGACAGGTCAATCGCGACAACGTAATACACAGCACGGGCGCCAAGTGAAAGGTATAGAGACAGGGCGTCAGATGAGTGCATCCGCGGCGCTGGCACTGCAAGCAGAGAGACAGCAAGAAGGGCAGGCGAAGAAGGTGGGAGGGGAGGGGAGGACGAGGACGTGGATCTAGAGAGAGCGGGACTCGCGGCCACGGCCGGGCCCGGCACGGGAACTCGGCCAGCCAGAGTGGCGCAGGCCCCAGGGGGCGCTCCTGAGCCGACTGGCGGGCGCCGCGGCCATTTGGGCCCAAGTTCTGCGGGCGTCTTCGAGGCCCCCCTGTAGGGGAGGGAGAGACTGACCGGTGCCACCCAGCCCCCCCAGGCCCACGTGGGGCCCAGACGTTGGCGGACATCGGCTCGGGCAGGACCGGGAGGCCGCGCTATCCACAGGACTGGGCGCGACAGTGGGCGGTTGGAGGCTCGGTGGTCCTGGACGGCTTCCCCTTCCGGTCAGGCGACGTCAGCTGTCCACTTCACCAGGCCCCGCCGAGCACACCGCGGGCCCAGTATCGGTGAGGGTGAGTGCGCCCTCCTGGCCTGGCCAGGGGGGGGCCCTTGTCAGGACCGCTTTGGGACCCATCTCGTCGCCCCCATGTAGGGACCCCCCAATTTCCACCCGCCCGAGATCGGCGAGGTGGCCAGCTGATGCCACCCCCTCCCAACCTCGTGACGGTGGGGGGCAGCCGGCTTGCTGGCCGCCTCATGTCAACGGCGACGACGGGGGCGAACGCCCAGGGGCGGGCAGTCCGCGCATTCGCCCAGGAGTTTCGCCAAAGAAATGGACGCTCCTGGAAATTCGGCCCCCCCGATCATGTGGAATAGTGAAAACACGCATACAATTTCGGAGTTCCGCGTGGGTTTCTTGGATCGGCGCCAGACCCCCTTCCCTGGCGCGCGGAGCGCGCCAGAGGCGGCGCCAGAGTCGCCCCAAGGGGAGGTCCAGCGCAGGTCGCAGATCCAAGAAATCCGCGCGGAGTTCCGAAAGGTCACGCTTACACAGTGTTTTCTTCCTCTGCGCCAGGGACCTCTCCAGGGGTGCGTCCTGACCAGGATCTCGAGGAGTATCCGACCGTGGCCACGAGGGCCTCCCAGGTGGTTCAAACTGGCGAAGACGAGGCAAGGGCAGCAGCATCGGTGCCTATGACGAACGAACAACACATACCCATACCCATAGGAGGGACGGAGGGGGCTATGGGTGCGTGCTGTCGGATGAGGGCCCCTGTCCGAACGGGAGCTTCCCCCCCAGGGTCCGACAACCCGCGCCCATACCCATAGCAGTCCTTTTCCCTCTGTGTTCTACCCCTCGTAGTCGGCACACTTTGCTCTTTGGCGGAATCCCCGTTGGGTTTAGGGAGGTCTTTGGTCCGTCTTGGCCTCCCCGCCCCTCTCTTTCCCTTCCCTCACTCCTCGCCCCGCGCAGCCCACTCGGATCGAGATGCGTTAGCGGCAAAGGAGGAGACCCGCGCGCGCGCTGCCCTTCCAGCGCTTTCGTCGAGGTCAGCCGCATAGCAAACGGGACAATTTCGCCTTAGGGTCGGTGCGATAGGGCAACCTGTCGCCACCGTCACCGACCGTTGCCACGGCTGGACTCAATCTCTTAATGCTGGAGCCTGGCCGCCTTCAACGGCGAGCATGGGCCATCAACTCAAGGGCGTTAGCTGTGGCCCGAAGGCTGAAGCGACCCCAATCCCAGGTCATCGGCCGAAGCAGCGCGTCGTGCTGTACAATCTGGAAATGTCTGCACGTTTGCAGCTGACCCCGAGGCCACCATTTCCGAACAGTTTTTCGACACAGAGGATTCACAACAAGGTGTCCGCGTCCGGCGAATGGGGCACGGAAAATTCGCGCCGCTAGATCGCGTTGGCGGCAAATGTCAAGACGAACCGCCGATAGTTTTCGAAAAAAACTCACGCGGCAGGGCAACCTGCCCTTATTACAGGCGCGGCCAGATCCCGAAGGGAGTCTGAAGAAAGGAAGTTCCGCTTTTCTCCCACCGCACCTAGGCGCGGGAATGAAACTCCTGGGGCGCGCACCGCAGAGCCAAGGTCCCCTTTTCACCAATCGCGACAGGTCCCGCCTCGTGGTGCACACCAAAAGCCGCGGGCGGCGCAAGTCGCAGCAGGGCAACCTGCTGCTGCCTCCCCCGCGCGTCCAATGTCGATTTCGACCATTGAAATATTCCAACGCCTGGGCCAACAGATGGCGAATGCGCAACGGCAGGCATTGCAGGAGCAAAGCAGATTGTCCGAACCGCAAGAAGAATCCATTATTAACCGGTTGCGTTCGTCTTTCGAGGAGTTCGCAAGTGCTTCGCAACCGCAGCAGGAACGGAACGCTAACCCACAAGCTTGGGCTGCCATTGACAAACAAGTGGCGGCAAGCGTTCACGCCAGATATGCAGACCAACAGGTGGCGGATCAAGGGATAGCACACGCCATCGAATGCACAAGTAGTGCAGAGAAATTTCTACAGCGTCAACGACCAGCCGGACCTGACCAAGGTGAAGTCCGACAGCTCCTACTGACGTAAAACAAGCGTGTCGCGCAATTGGAGCAAAGCAACAATGAATTATCAATGCGAGTGGAGTTTGTTGCCACAAGCTTGGTTCAGACGTACCGCGAAGCAGCTGAGATTGTATCCTAGATGCGAGACATGGTTGTACCGACGGCCCACTTACCAGGAACATTGAACAGCGATGATGGACGGTGCTCGGTACATGGCGACGTCATTAGCTCGCAAGAATCATTGTTTTCTTTATGCGCAGGGCAGCGTTCAGGCACTCTGTGGTAGAGCTGAAGGCCACGGGCTCGCCAGCGCAAGCGTGAGCAGCCAGGTTCAGAACAACAGCGACCTCAATCTTGCACGCGTCGATCAGATCCGCAACAAGACTGCCGTCTAGTTGGGCAAGATGGACATGAAGCTGGAGCAAGCGACGAGAACTGGCAACAGACGCCCCAAGAAACAGCGATTCAGCTCGCTGCAATGGCAAAACAACCGTCAGCCGTCACAAGACACGTTTGCCCACCTGGGCGCGGCGCGAGGGGCAACGACGCCCCGTCGCCGCCGCCGGCGAGGGAACTGGCGGATTGGCAGGTTGCCGGTGACACCCATCCTCCGGCAGCAGAACAGCTGCACTCATCAGGGCAAGTTGCGCCACAGGCGCCTTCGCCCGAAGCGTCGCCAGTTACTGAGCCACCGCAAGATCGCCAAGAAACCAACCCTGCCGCGACAACATGGACCACCAGCCGCCCCGGCTCCCGCGCGAGAGAAGAACGCCACGCAAGATCTGCGGGCCTGGCCCCCAGAAGTCTGGCTGCGCCCGCCCAGCGGGCCTCCGCCATCTGAGATTCAAGCGCCAGGCGCTGGCGGGGGGGGGGTCGCGCAGCGACCGTGAGTCTGCGCCAGAAGAGGTCGAAAAATTATCCTTGCTGGGTGGTGGCGGGCGCATGCGGGCGGAGCCACTGGGACCTTCGGTGGAGCCCCCTAGAGGGCCACGAAACGCTGTACTGGGAGGGCGAAACGCAGGGAGCAATGGCTGTGCTGGGTGGTGGCGGACGCATTCGGGCGGTGCCGCTGGGGCCTTCGGTGGGGCCCCCATATGGGGCCACGAAACGTTGTACTTGGTGGGTGAAAGCTGGGTGGTGGCGGACGCATGCGGGCGGTGCCACTGGGGCCTTCGGTGGGGCCTCCTATGGGGCCACGAAGCGTTGTACTGGGTGGGCGAAACGCAGGGGGCAAGGGCTGTGCTGGGCGGCGGCGGACGCACACGGGCGGCCCCACCGGGGGCTTCGGTGGAGCCCCCGCTGCCCCTATGGGGCCACGAAACGCTGCGCTGGGCTGGTGAAACGCATGGAACAGGGAGGGGGGGGGGGGGGAGGCGGAGGAGGAGGAGAGGAGGAACGCGGGGCTCTTCTCTTCAAAACGAGGACCCAACACCACAGGATGGTTGGGAACTATTGAAAAAAAAGAAGCATATAGAAGCAGAGAAGTTACCCTTCAAGTTCTTACCGCGAGATCCCATCTTCAGGAGATGGAGAGAGGCTGCGCGCGAGACTGCAAGCTCAGCACCTGGCAGACCTGATCACATTCCAACGGGTTCGCGAGGCGGGGCGCGGAAATTCCGCGTGCAACAAGTCTGCTGACAGCGTCGATTTCGATGCGCCGCGCGCGAACATAGCTTCAGCACGCAGCGAAGTCCGAACGCGCGAGGACCTCAGGGGGAGGGCCAACGCCCGCGAGGAAGAAGCCAACTTCAGAAACTGCTTGTGAAAAGGAGCCGCAGATATTCTACACGACACACGATTGGCATAGGCCAGTCGAAGCGGGCGGCATCATATTGGACCCCCCTCGCCCGAGCTCAGCGGAAGCCGTCGGCGGCGACGCGGGCAGGGTTTCTGGGGGAAGGCCACGCGGAATTTGCGGTGGCCCGCTGAGCCCGCGAATGATTTCTGATAGCCCCAGCTCGGCCCCACAAGGGGCGCCGTGGAGACGCGGGGGCCGACGCGGGGGCGCGGCGCAGAATGGGCCGCGACGACCCCGACAGAACGCATCGTACACATGTAGCGAAAGCAGCTTTCAATGTGTAGGCGAGAGATGGCGGGCCGAAACAGGGGCGAGATGTCCGCGGGATCTGTTGCGGCTGGATCCAGCGCGGCGCCTGCTCGGCGCGCGGAACAACTGGAGGCCGCCTCTGGCGCCGGCCTGAACATTTGGCAGGGCGGAAGACATGCGCTCGAAGCGGGGCAGTTCGCCGCGGGGGGGCAAGTTCCGCGTGGCCCACGCCAAGTGAAGACAATTCGATAAGCCTGACCGCAATGACCCGCGCGCAGAAATAATTGCCTCTTTTGCCGGGAGGGCAAATGCACATGCGGCGACGGGTGCACTTCCACCCGCGTAGACATTTCGGGCGCGCCAGCTGTGAAGTCCAGTTCTAGAAGCGGGCCGCAGCAATCCTCGAGAAGTTCGCCACCGGTCGGGGCAGTAAACGCGAGGGGTCGAAATCTGCCCCCCTAGACCCTAGCGGGACATGCACATCCAAGGCGACATGTCGCCATCGAAGCAAGATCCCCAGCGCGGGCCGCTCTCCAGGGCGCGGGGCACCAGCCCCGGATGAGGTGACCAGCGCGGCACAACAATTTCCGCGCCCCAAGACAGGGGCCGCGCGCCGCCCGAGAGCCTGGGCCGAGGCAAGAGCCCCACAGGCGGACGCAAGAGGAGCCCGAAGGATTGCTTAAGTAGCCCTGCGACGCGCGATGGAACGCGCACCAGCTGCGCGGTTGCAGAGTGGACTTGGACTTGCCTGGTGGCGCGAGGCTAGTTCTTGCGCCACCGATGCCATGGCCACCGCTGCGCCCGCAGGAGGCCAAACCTCGGCTTACGAGGAGAGAGACGCAGTGAGCCACTCAAGGGCCATCTGCCCCCTGCCGGGCACAGCGCGCACTGCGGGCCTCTCAACACTGCGCGCACCAGCGACGGCGTACGAATTGGTGACAAGACCAGACTTGGACGGCGTCTGGGCGAACATTTCAGGTACTCGGTTCGCTGGCCTGCCGCTGATGGCGAGCCCAATGAAGACCTCCACGACGCATGACATGAGCACGTCAAACACGAGGCAGGCACGCCTTTCGGCGGGGGCTCCGCTGCTGGGCAACCAGCAGCTACCCTTGCGCGCGAATCGACCCCAGGGCAGGGCCCACCTGCCACGTCGCCCCTGACGCACGTGAGTTTCGTGGGCGCATGCATGTGAGATGAATGTGCCCGACCAAAAAAAAAACGAGGCGTCAGATGTCTCAGGCAGATATCGCCCTTCTGCACGAGTTCAAGACCTTGACTCCGGTTGGGTTCCAATGTTGGCTTATTATTACAGAGTGGGGGGCCGCGAGGCAAACGTTGAAACGCAGATTCAGCCCATCTGCGCATGCGCGGTCTGGCGAGAACCTGCGGCATCAACGCGACGCGGAGGGGCGTCGTGGATTCGGGCGTTCAGCCCGGGCGCGCGCCGCGCGCGACGGCCCTGATAGCGCAGTTTCGCAGCCGCCGCTGGCGTTCTAGGGCGTTGCACGGACGCGCGGGGCACCGCCCAGATGCGCGCCGGTTGGCGGCCGCCTCGCCCTCGCGCGCCCCCTCCCCCCTCGCCCCCGCGCCCCTCCCTTTCGCCTCGTCCTTCTGATGCCCATCCGATCCCCCCCCGTGCCCATCGGGCCTCTCCCCCTCGCCCCCGCGCCCCCGCCCGCCACTGCGCGGCGTTCCGCCTCGCCCGACGCGCCCCCCGCCATTCGCGCCCTCGCCGCCGCCGCTCCTTGCTCGCGGCCACGCGCAGTTCATTATTCCGCCATCCCCCCCCTGCGCCCCTCGCCCTCGCGATGATGCTGGCGCCGATGCCGCGGCTCCCCCTAGGCGCATGTCT